CCCTAAACCCTAAACCGTGGTTTAAAGGCCAAGGCTTGTGGGTGCAAGGTTTAGTTTAGGGCTTGAAACTACTAGGAAGCAGTACGTCCTTACATTAAGCAGCTCCAGATGAAATAGGATATCTTCAATGAGTGGATGGTGTCAAACCGAACCCCCCGAACCCAAAACCCCAAACGGTTTTAGGGCTTAGGGTTTCGGATTTAGGGATTAAAGTTTAGTGTTTAGGATTTAGGGTTTTGGGTTTAGGGTAAACCCCGAAGCCTTACCAAAACTATACGAAAACCCTCAAGCCTGTTGTGACTTCGGGTGGTTCGAGCCTCACGGCTCCCTCAAAACCGAGGTGGGGACAGGTCTTGGAAACGCCTGCTCGACGACCCTCCGTCGTCCTGCAGACTGCTTCAAACGGTTTAGGGTTTAGGGTTTAGGGTTTAGGGAGGGTAAGTCAGTGAGCGACAATCAGGATAATAGATAATAACACATAATAATGATAATACTGAGAACGAAGGGGTAATGGACATTATTATTGATGCAAAGGCAAGAAGACATGGTAATACTCAAGGCCATAATCTTGAGAAAGTTTGAGGCAACTGTCCTAAATAGAGTTTCTTTCCGGAGAAAAGCCATCTTGTAACACTGGGGTCCTTCTAAGATGACTTGGTATAGCAGCACATGGCCTTCGCCCTGATGTTGGAGGCCTGACTAGTGAGAATAAGTTTGGGGATTGTCTTGTGGAAGCGAATTTGCAGGGTCGATCAGGGGAGATCACTATACTCGGATCCTCAGCAGCTTAGGAATACACAGGGCTCCCGTTTTGCATTGCGTAGTTTAGAAGGAACCTAAAACCACAAAAAGGGAACAAGGGCCCACTGGGAGACCGAGCCCCTAAACCCTAAACCCGTAAACTCCTAAATCCGGAACCCTGGTATAACTTATAAGCGCTTCAGTGGACCGTTACGTTAGACCCCCTTGTGGGCCTGGGGCTTTGACCGTAAAGCTTTCGTGGTTTTGGGTTTAGGGGCTTAGGCTTAAAGGGCTTGGGGTTGAGAGTTTAAGGGCATATACGGGTTTAGCGATGCTTGGGGTTTAGGGGTTTAGGGGCTTCGGGTTTAGGGCTTAAGGGTATAAGGACCCTAAACCCTAAACCCTAAGGGTTTACGGTGGTTTATAAAGTCCGAACCAGGCCATCTCGATTCGAAACTTGATAAGGGCTCAGAAGCCTAAGCCCCAAACCAAAGCCCTAACACCTAGGCCCTAAGCCCTAAACCCCTAAACCCCTAAACCCCTAAGCCCCTAAACCCCTAAACCCCTAAACCCCTAAACCCTGATGAACAACACCCTTGAACAGGATCCTCAACCTCAGAGAAACCCAAAGCCTAAGTGGCAGAACCCGGGCCTGAAAATTTTGAGCTCAGCCACCCAAAAGCTCAAGCCGAAAGGGTTTAGGGTGAAGGGTTTAGGTTAGGGGTTTAGGGGTTTAGGGTTTTAGGGTTTAGGGGTTTAGGAGTTTAGGGTTTAGAGTTTAGGGTATAAATTCTCAAACCCACCCTTGAAACCAAAAGCCCAAACCCACGTCGAGTCTCATTAATAACTAGAATAGGGTGTTTTGGGGTATATTATACTATGGTTATACAAGGAAGCCTCAAAATAGTTTAGTAAGGCCCCTATATTATACCCTAAGCCCTAAACCCCAACCCCTCAACCCTAACAGCCCTTGACTCTTGCATCTCCCAAAGCTTTCCCGCCGCCTCTTCTCTGACAGTTGTGCTTCGTAAGTCTCGATGAGGTGGCGAAGCGCGAAGTTCTCGGTGAGATACCTCGCAACAGAGCTCACAAAGCTCAGCTTGGGTCTTGCTTTAGGGCTTGGGGTCTAAAGGGTTTAGGGTTTAGCAGCATTGATAGGGATTTGGGTTTGGGGTTTAGGCGAATTTATGGGGCTTCCAGGGTTTAGGGTATGCCTTGAAAGCCTAATTCGGGATTCAAGATGTCAGGGCTTATAGTGCTCAAGACATGGGATTCAGTTTAATAAGGTTCAAGGCAGAGGGGAAAATCCTTAAACTGTATACATCCTAATACACTCTAAACCCTAAACCCTAAAGCTCTAAACCACCAACAAAAACCTGAACTCTAAGCAAGCCCTCTTAAACCTACCCTGGTCTTCAACCTAACTCTAACCCAAAGGCCCTAAGGGTCCAAGTACCTAATAATCATATAACTCTGCCAAATATTAATCTAGATAACTACTATCCGAAACCAAAGTACCTGATTATTGGGTCCTTTGGACCACAGGGATAAACCCTAAACCCCAAACTCTAAACCCTGACCCCTAAATCCCTAAACCCTAAATCCCTAAATCCCTAAACCCTAAACCCCTAAACCCTAAACCCCTAAACCCTAAACCCCAAAGCCTGCAACGGTTTGAAGCCCGAAACTCGATCCCGAATGCCCCAGCCCTGCTGTGAAACAGCAGAGGCGACACCTCAAACTATTGATCCTCGTTGGGGGGGATCCTTCTTTGAAGCCTTATATAGTCTCATAAGCCCCTATATAACCCCAAGGGTCCCGTTAAGGGTCCCTCCTTTAGTCCCTTGATTCTTGCAGGACGGTGCGGTGTAGGTTGGGGTTGTCTACCGTTGAGAGGTTTGGTGAAGTTTGGGGTCATCCCTGAACCCTAAACCCCAAACCCTAAACCCTAAACCCAAAACCCAAACCCTAAACCCTAAACCCTAAACCCTAAACCCCAAACCCAAAACCCTAAACCCCAAACCCAGAAGCCTCCCAAAGCCTAAAACCCCAAACCTCAACCTTCAAGGCTCAGCCTGACAACTCCATCCTCGCACGGCCCCCCTTCATTTTGGGGCGCGAGGTTGGGGCCTGGATGTTTCTTGGGCGCCTCTTCCCAACTACTATAGTAGGAGTCTTAACAATTAGAATAGGATTTTTTTGGGGGGGTCTAATCTATCATTATGGATTCTTCGGAGCTTAGGTAAGATGCACGGCCGTCGTCATGCGATCCCTGGTCCTTTGGAGGTCTCAGGCCCATGTCAAGCTTACACCCTAAGCCCCTAAAACCCAAAACCCAAAAAACCCTAAACCCCTAAACCCTAAACCCCTAAACCCCTAAGCGCCACCCCCTAAACCCTAATTACGCCCTAAACCCTGAAAGGCAACCTGTCCCATTGAGTAAACCCTGGAACCCTAAACCCTAAACCCTAAACCCTAAACCCTCCTGGAATCCCTGGCGCGACGTCGGCCTGTGTGCCAAGACGGCTCCCGTCATCGGCGACGTGTTGTGCATGGAGAGCCACTTCTCAATGGCCTGGCTGTGGAATATTGGGGGTTGAAGGTTTAGGGTTTAGGGTTTAGGGTTTAGGGTGTAGGGTGTAGGGTGTAGGGTTTAGGGAAGGTCTAGTTTAGGGTTTAAGGGGCTGAGTATGTCGAATACAGGGGTTGCGGGTCTACCTTAAACTACCAAAACCTACTTTTTTGTAGGGTCCCTATAAATTCTGTATTAGGGTTTATAATAAGAACTTACAAAAAAAGGGGTTTTGGGTTCTTGTGTTAGGGTTTAAAGGGCTGAGTATTCAGAAATCCCTGTCCTACCGCAAGGAACAGTTCACCAGTGCTCGCCCTTAACAAGAGGAGAACAAATCCTCCCTCTGTAAAACCCTCATAGATCCCTTGAAGGAACCGTTTTTGAGCGGGTCTCCAAAACCTAAACCCTAAACCCTAAACCCTAAACCCACGATCCTTGAAGGAACCGTTCTTGAGCGGGTCTCCACGAAGAACACTGGATCCTGGATCTGACGCCAAGCCACCTGCCGTTCGTAGGTAAAGCCATCAGCGGCCAAGACCTGACTTCAAGGGTTTAGGGGTTCAGGGTTAAGGGGTTTAGGGCTTCAGGGCTTCAGGATTAAATTTGCGGCTTGCACTTTAGGGTTCAGGGTTCTGGGTTTAGGGCCCCTAAAAAAAGGCGATGGGCCCCTGGGTTTAGGGTTTAGGGTTCCCTTTTCAGGCCTCTAGACGAGCACGCCACTTTCACAGCAAGGACCCGAAAACAGCAAGGACCCGCAAACGGACACTAACTTAGGCAAACAAGCAATGCCGAAACTGAATGGCAAAGACGACCGTTGTGACAGCGAGGGTCTGGGGAAAGGCTTCTGCACAAGGCTAACCCAAAACTCTAAACCCTATAGGCTAAACCCCTAAACCCCTAACCCCTGAACCCCTGGACCCCTTGTAATAGCCCTAAACCCCGAAACCCCAAACCGTGGACCCTAAACCCCCTTGTTGAGTTAGTGATGTTTCTCTCTTCGTTGCTTGGGGCCCCGAAGCCGGGCCTTGGAGTAGGGCCGATTCGGGCTGCGGGCTTGGAGGGTTTAGGGCTTAGGGCTCAGGAGTTAGGGTTTAGGGCTTCGGGTGGAGGGTTTAGGGTGGAGGGTTTAGGGCTTAGGGCTTAGGATGTAGGGTTTAAGCTGGAGGGTTTAGGGCTTAGGGCTTAGGGTGTAGGGTTTAAGGTGGAGGGCTTAGGGCTTAGGGTTTAGGGTGTAGGGTTTGGGGTGGAGGGTTTAGGGCTTGGGGTTTAGGGCGCAGAGTTTAGGGTGGAGGGTATAGGGCTTAGGGTTTAGGGTGTACGGTTTAGGAGGGTGCAAGGGTTGGGGCACCCCAATTGGGGTGTGGGCTTTAGGGCTTAGGGTGTAGGGTTTAGGGCTTAGGACCTATGGTGTGTGTATACATAAATATATATATATATAAATAAATAAATAAATAAATAAATAAGTATGTGTATATATATATATATACTTATATATATATATATGCGTTATGTTCGGGGACTTGGGGTCGTCTTGGGCACTGTGCAAAAGAGCTAAGCCGCCACCCTAAACCGACACAACTGAGCATACGGAGCCAAATCAGTCCCTTCATAACTGGGCTCTCTCTGTGTGTATGTATACATATATATATATATATATACAAATATGTATATATTTATAATAGTATCGATGTGACACATACTTTTATTATATAGGCGGAAATACCCCCTTTCAAACACTGATCACATGCAAACACATTCTTCTAGGTCTTAAGGCTCCTACATCGGGTAGACTGAGGGAACCTCCATCTGCACACTGAGAGGCAGTGCAAAACAGATGCCAGGACAGGGACCTCTACCTTATGTAGACTGCCCAGAGACTCCAATATCCCTTAATTAAGGAATATACCTTAAATCATTTTAGGGATCCTACTATAATTTAAGGTATATTCCTTGATTAAGGGATGTTGGAGTCTCTGGGTGTACCTATAGTCTCCATTGTAGTTCCTTTTGTAGGTTCCCAGATAGGATCCTAAATATCAAGTTGGTCTAACCCAAAAAAAGAAGCTACAATGGAGACTATAGGTAGGGTTTAGGGTTTAGTATTTAGGGTTTAGGGTTTATAAGGGTTTAGGGTTTAGGGTTTAGGGTTTAGACTTCTGACTAGCCGAATTCACTCAGCTTGATACCTGAACGGTTTGCAGGCTCAGAGCGTAGAGTCTTTACAGGGTTGGAGTTTTTATCAGGGTTTCGGGTTAGGAGCTTCGGGGTTGGGGTTTAGGGTTTAGGCTTTTGTGTTTTAGGGTTTAGGGTTTAGAGGTTTTGGGTTTAAGGGTTTAGTTTAGGGGGTGTACCCTTCCCTTGATCCTAGACTCTAAACCCTCCACGCTACGACCGCTGCGACCTCAGCTCGGAAAGCTGCATCTCGGAGCCCGCAACTGCAGAGCGCCCCAGCTTCGCTGGGGAGGAAAGCTGACGCTTCTTGCACAACTTTGGCCACAAGAAGCAGATGAGGCATGAAAGAGGCAAAAGCAAGAGAAGCAGAAGCCATGGAAGCCAGGGTGGCAGACGTTGATGCAGCGAAAGTTCCTCAGGCGCATAGATATCCAGCAGTCGTGCACACTCCTGCTTGTCGAGATCACCAAGGAATAGGGGTTGAAGTTGCTCTATTACCTGAATGTCAAGCGGGCGTGTGAAGGGGAAGTACTCGGTTTGGATGTGATTCGCGCCATCACCGATAGCAAGGTAGGCGTGGTTCCTGTACTCCGCAAATCCGATGGACATCGCGGTTCAATTACAATGTTTAACACCACTGCTATATGACAGCGCGAAAAACAAACCGTTTTGCCAGTAAGATATGCAAGTCTCAGGCATTTGGCCAGTGTCCACCTGTCCAGTAGCAACTGCGCTGGTTGCTCGCCCACGAAGCCGTGGTTCTGCTGCGCATCAGAATGCTGGCTATCCTGTCGTCTGAGTTTTGGTTCAGTTTGCAGGGTGGAGTATGGTTAGTCTTCTGGTCCCGCAACACAAGCGCACCCAATGCACCGAGCTGCCAACACCCCCTCCCCCTCCAAAAATGCAAAACAGAAGAGCTTACACACACCACGCACCCAAAACCCCACGTCCGCACAAAAAACATTACACCCACAACTTCCCCCTCAAACCTTTCATCCAAGAATTGACTGCTGCATCTCTCCAGCAGGCTTTGTGTTTTTGGTATCCTAAACCCTAAACCCTAAACCCTAAACCCTAAACCCTAAATCCTAAACCCTAAACACTAAACCCTAAACCCTAAACCCTAATCTCCACACTTCAGGCTTTAGAGCTCTTCGGGGTACCCGGCACCCCGTTGGCTTGAGGGCTTTCAGGCAGTCCTTGGGGTTTAGGGTTTAGGGTTTAGGGTTTAGGGTTTAGGGTTTTGGGGTTTAGGGTTCAGGGTTTAGGGACCAGACACCATGGGAGTGAAGCCCAGCGAATTCTAAAGCCATCTTCATGTCTCAATCA